GGGGGGGAGGGGGGGGGCGTCCCCCCGCAGTCCTCGCCCTCCCCTTGGGCACGAGAGGGTAGCGGGCTTCTGAATCTTAGCTTCTGTGGCCAAACCTCAGAAGACACCCCCCATTTCCTCCCCCGCCCCCCCGCCTCAGCAAGAGTAGCACCCACGTCTGGTGAAGGGACGCTCGCACTGAGGACTTTACGGTGTTACCTCATCTAACCGTGGCAGGTGTCCCACCGAGGACACACTACTGTGTGCATTTTGCAGAGGAGGACCCGCGCTCAGGCTCAGTGATGAGCAGTCCTGTCGGAGGGAGCGCTGTCCCGTAGAACTTTCCCTGGTGACCGGAATGTTCTCTGGGTGACTGGGAGATCCAGTAGGGCGCCCACTAGCCACACGTGGCTGTCGAGCACCGGAAATGTGGCCGGTGAGGCTGAAGAACTGACTTTTCAATTTTATTTAATTTTCAGTAGCTCAAGCGCAAATAGCCATGTACGGCTGCGGTATTGGACGGCCCAGGTCTGAGGCTTTCAAGGTAACTGGGGTCCAAGCCACATTCAGAGCCAGATCCCGGCTGACCTGGAAAGGCAGCCTCTCGGTTACTGTCTCCCTGTGTGGTAGTGTGCGGCCCACAGGTTCTACCTCCTGTCCTAGTGTGTCCAGGATAAACCCACCATCCCCGTCCCTCTGTCTCCATCTCGGCAGTGCCTCCTCGTCTCTGTTTTGCCCAACGGCACCGCGTCTGTCCTCAGTGATGGCCTCTGGAACCTCCCAGATCACTCTTTTTTTTTTTTTTTTAAAGATTTTATTTATTTGAGAGAGAGAGAGCACGAGCTGAAGGGGAGGGGCAGAGAGAAAGGGAGAAGCAGACTCCCCGCTGAGCAGGGAGCCCGATGCGGGACTCGATCCCAGGACCCTGAGATCATGACCTGAGCCGAAGGCAGATGCTTAACCAGCTGAACCACCCAGGCGCCCCTCAAATCACTCTTTTTAAATGTCAATCAGATCATGTCATTCCTTTTCGAAAACCAGTAGTTTCCCATCGTGTTCAAAACAATATCTAATCCTCTTGTCCTGGTTTCTGAGGCCTTCTGTACCACTGACCTCAGCGCCTCCTTTTCTCTTCATTGCTCACTAAGTCACAGCCCCCAAGGCCCCCTTGCCCTCCCTCAAACATGCCGGGCGCCACATGTCTGCCCCATGCGGTTCCATCTGTCTACAATGCTTGACCCCGCATGACTGGTTCCTTCTCACTCATCACCTCTCCGTCCACCCTACCTGAAGCAATTCCCCCTACCTGCCCTTCTTTCTCACCACATAAAAGATTTTTACTTAGTCTTTGTGATTATCCTTCTCGCTCTAGATTGGAAGCTCTGTGAGGGTAAGAGATTTTTCCGGCTTGGTCATTGCCGCAGCTTCAACACCAAGAACACTGGCCGGGACGCAGTACGTTCTCAGTAAATAGACGTGGAATGGATGGACAATAGCATCTTCCCACCGCAGAATCCTAGATCTCTGAAACTTTGGAAGCAGAGAATTCTGGAATCTGGGACCCAGCAAATCATCTCACTACGGAGTGGTGCTGCTCACAGCCGCTCGGGATCCTCTGATACAGCAAGTCAGAGCTGGAAAACTGATCCCACCCGACCACTGTTTGACAGATGATGGGACTGGGACTGAGACCGCGAGGCCCGGAGGGGCGGGAGGACCACCGGCCGACCGAGATCGCAGCCCCGCCAGCCAAGAGCGTGCCACGCTGCCTGCCAGTGGCCCCCCAGAGGAGCGTGGGGGGCGAGCCGGGCTGCTCAGTGGGCATGGGGGTGAGAGCCGGCGAGGCTGCTCCCACCCAGGCAGCCCTCCCCTTCCTCAGCGGCCAGCTGTGGGGGAGGGGTGGCCGGTGCCTGAGCCCCAGATGTGGCCCAGTCAGCAGGCCCGTGGTGGCCCACCGAGGAGGGTCAATGCCACGACAGTTCTGGGGCTGGGGGAGGGGGCGCCCAGGCCGGCGGGCGCCTCACAATGAGGTTCTGTCCCTCCGGGGGCCGCTCTCCGAGCCGTTGCTCCCAGATATATAGAATGGGATTTTGCTGGAGGCCCCAGCTGTGTGTGCTGCCGGTGCTCCCCCCGCAGGGGCCGGGCTGAGAAGGGGGGAGAGGGCCACACTGAGACGCCTATTCTTTTCCAGCTGATACACCCCAGAGGTTTTTTTCGCCCTCCGCAGCCTCCCTTAAGACAATTGTTATTCTCTGCTCTATCCCCTCCCCCACCCGGTCAGGCCTGCCTGTGGACAAAGTAGACACCCGCCTACGCCATGTGATTTTTTTTTTAAATGAATTTATTTTAGGAGTTGCCCGGGACCAGCTGGAAAACTAGCTCCTTCCTAAGCCTCCACCTACCCAAAGGTCTTTCCACCATATTCCACATGGTGCTGAAATGTCCACCATCTGAGGGCCATCGTGACGAGCTAAGCATTGTCCTTGTATGGGTCATCAAAGGAGTGGGATGTGCATATTTTGTCCCCAACACCCCAACTCCTCAAGTTGGATCATTAAGCCTCTGGGGTGGCCTTGAACTTGGATGGGGTGGGATGGGGCTTCCGGTTCATCCTGTGGGAGCTGGCCTGGCTAAGGGGGTTCTGGCCCTACCATCTCCCCTGATTCCCCTAGGCCACTGAGCAAAGGAGCAACTGGCCCAGGGCTTCCCATCTCTGGGCTGGAGGAGAGGAGTGGCTACAGTCCCAGATTCCGGGGCTCAGCCAAAAGTTGATGCTGCCACCCCCAAAGCCCATAATTAAGTTGGGGCCCAAGCCTGTCTGGGACAGGGCGATGACAGCGAGGGCTGGTAAGGGAGCCCAAAGGAACCTGCATAACCAGGACTATGAGGGAGCCATCCACAGAGAGGGGCCCCATCTGTACCCCGTCCCCACCAAGCCCTAATGAGTGAGCAACCGACATGTCATTCCTGGTCCTGCAGACACAGCTGTTCCTGTGGTCATCTCAGCCATCCCCCAGGGCCTGCCCTCGGGTCCTTGGAGGACTCATCTGTAAATCAGCCTATTATTCCCGCCTCTCTGAGCAGGTAGAATGTCAGGGAAGTGATCAATAAATCCTGCTTTCTTCTATTCCAGGACAGTTCCTGGTGCTCAGCTCTGGCCGGTGAGTGACAGCAGGGCCAGCGGGAGGCAGCGCTGGGGAGAGGGAGGAAAGGACTGAGGGTGACTGGAGGAACAGAGTACCGGGCTGGTGGCCAGGCCAGGAGAGGGTGGGGCTCATCAGCTAGCCAGAGGGCCAGGCCTCCCTGCTGCGGGACTGCCGACCCCCCGTGGGCTCATACAGCCCTGGCACCTGCCCCCCTTTGCAGAGGAAGGGAGGAAGGCCCAAGGGGTGGTGAGTGGGAGCCCAGCGTCAGTGAGGCTGGGGGTGCGGGCTTCCCCGGACTGGGGTGAGAGGGGCAGGGGGAGCCCTGCAGAATGACCTCCCTCCCACCTCCCTCCCAGCTGAGGTGGACAGGGCCGTCCACAGGGCCTGCGTGGGGATGGGAGGCACAGCGCTGCTCCAGCCCTTCCCAGAACTGCCCCTCGTGAGAGCCCTTCCCCACACAGTCTGACTGTGTGACCTTGGGCAAGTCACAGCGCCTCTCTGGCCCCAGGTTTCTTCTGCTTCTGCTCCACTGATCGGACAGGGCAGTTTGCAAACTCAGTGAGACTGAGTTTCTGAGGAAGAACCTCGGAAAACCATAAAATGAGGGTGGAGGCCAGAGTCCTCAGCTAGGAGGCCCGGATTCTGGTCTTAACATCTGTCCCCACAGCCTGAGTCACCTGAAGCAGGTCTTTGCCCTCATGGAGCCTCTTCTGTTCAAAGAGGCTAGGGGTGAAGCCAGGCACTGGTCTGTCACCTTCCCCCAGACTCCACCAAGTAGGGTCCCTCCGGACTTGGGGGTGGTGAGAGGGTGGGCAGTGTGGGGAAGGGGAAGGTCAAGGTCAGGTCAAAGCTTGGCTGGCTCAGTGCCTGGGCCCACTCTGCAGGCACCCTGGGACTGGCTGGAGGAACAGCGCCACCTGCTGTGCGGGCGGGGGCAGGCCGGGCCTGGGGCTCCAGGAGGCCCAACAAACTGCCTGCTCACCCAAGGCCTGCAGCCAGCCGCCTCCCAGGCCTCACGGTCCTGGAGCCTTCATGCACTGGGGACCCTGGGGTGGCCTGGCTGGGCCTGGCCAGCTATTCTGCACCCTCCTAAAGAAACACTCAGCAAAGGTTTCCAGTGGCCCTCACATTTCAGTGCTACCCTGCTGGGGGGGTTTAGTGGAGTCCTTCCCCCTCTGCTCTAGTTCTCAGTATTGGGTATTGGGAAGGGGTGGGAACTGTCAGACCAGCCTGGTACCCCACATGCTGGCTCTGTGGTCTTGGGCAGCTTACTTACCCTCTCTGCGCCCCAGACCCTTCAGGGAGGAGAAAAGCGGCTGACAAGTCCCGTCTTTCAAGGCCCTGATGAGGTCATGAACGTGGATTCCGCCCCCCCAACCCCGTACATCTTTCACAGGGGCAGGGCTCAACAGGGGACTGCCCCCATTCGTGTGGGGCTCTGAGGGTCTTCTGGTCCCTCACTGTGACTCTTAAGTGTGGTCCTAGACCAGGGCATCGACAGCAGCGCGAGCTAGGCTCAGAGGACCCCCCCCCCCACTGACCTCAGCCGCGGGGGGGGCCCCCCCAGCCCATCACCCCCTGCTGGGAAGAGAGGTCACTCAAGGCAGCGTGCTTCTACATCCAGTTTATACACAGCTCTATACAATATACAGAAACCTTTATATACAGATATATTTATAGAATAAGCTATATTAATTTGTCTCTCCTTTTTACAGCAATATTAGTTTGGATCTTTCATACAGTAAGTACAAAAAGTCGTGGGCGAATGGCACGGACAGTGCATGAGTGTCTCTGGGGCCCAGCTGCTCGCTACCGTTTGCATATGGGGGTCACCCGGGCCCCTGGGGGAACAGGCCAGCTCACGGCTGGGAGAGTTTGTGCTGCGGTCTGGGGGAGCGAGTGGGGGTGGGTCTGAGCCTAGCTGGGCTGAGGGGGGTGGCTCAGACCCCCCAAAGTGTGGTGTGGGGAGGAAGGGAGAGATGCGCAGCAGGCCCATTCCTTCAGGGATATGGGGGGCAGGGGCGGGTTCGGGGCGGGCTGACCCTGGGGCATCCAGGGCTGAGTCCGAGCCTGCCCCAGCCCCAAGTCTGTAACCCTGCGCGGCTGCAGCCTTGGGGGTGGGGAGTCTGTCCCTGATGGCTCAGTCCTGGGCATGGGTGGGTACCACGCCCCCTTAGAGGTCCCAGGGCCCACCCTGGCAGAGGAAGAATTAAAAGGCCAGACACCAAGTCTCGCCCAGCAATTGGCTGAGGTGCTTGTTGGAACTTTACTCTGATTTACGATTTGTTTTTTTTAAACTCTAAGAGCCGCTGATTCCATCTTGCTTCTGCTGGGCCCAGGCTCTGCCAGCAGCGGGCCCCTCAGCAGGGGCATCCTGGAGTCTTGTTGGGGGGGTGGGTGTCAGAGAGGGAGGGAGGCCCAGCTCCCCGCTCTCTGTCTCCATCTGTCAGGGTGGGCAGGGGTCCCAGAGCAGCATCCGGGCCAGTCCCTGTGTGGGCCGGAGGTCAGGACACAGGCCCCAGGTACCAGTGATCATGAGATTGGGGGGGGATTTCTTGGTCAGGGGAGTCTAGCAGCCCCGGAGAGGCCGTGGAAGGGCCAGCATGGGGGGATCTGCCTCCAAGACGAAGGCACAAGCGGGCGATCAGCGCCTGGGCACACACCAGTTTTCCAGACCCGGGGTCAGAGCAACAGGAAGGACACGGGGGATGGCGACATCTGAAATTGAGCTCGTCCTATGCACCCCCGCTGCACAGGCCCCCATCCTAGTCTAGTTTCTCGGCGGGCTGGGAGGGGCAGCAAGCAGGCAGGGCAGGTCGGGTGGGGTGCGAGCCCCAGCAGCCCCTTCCTCAGGAGCGGCACACACTCATGCACATGCACAGACTCGCCCCACGCCAGCATGCACAACCTTCCCCAGCCAGCTTCCCCGGGGCGGGGGCGGGGGGGGGCGTTCTCCGACTCCCCCTTGCTTCCCCAACCCAGCAGGGAAGGAACCCCTCAAGCGTGGGCTCTGGAGGCCTCCAGCTCAACGGGGAAGGCCCCAGAGCCCCTGGCCCTCCTGCTCCCCTTTTAGCCAGGTCCCACAATACACCACTCTTGGCTCCACTTCCTGCCAACAGGACATTGAGGATGGGGGGTGGGAGGAAGAAAGCCCTGCTGCTAGGACAGAGCTCAGGCCAGTGAGGAGGGGGAGCTGAGAGGAGCAGAGGCGTGTTTGGTTTCAGATCCCAGGGCCTGAGGCTGCCTAGGCGTGGGGGCGAGGTGATATAAAGGGGTTACATGGGGCCCTCAAAGGAAGGGGGATTTGGGTGTCCTCCTTCTTCCCAGGGCACTGACCCTGCAGCCAGGGGTGGTCACACCTGTGACTTCTGCCCTTTGAGTGGCCAGGATCCCTGGGGGTAGAAGGCAAGCCGGGAAGTAATGGGCAGATGGGGCAGGCCAAGGTGCCTCGGACCAGTTGCCAGAGGGATCATCATGAGGGGCACCAAGCAGAGAAGGGGCAGTCTCAACCCCACTCTCCTCCAGGCCCCTCCAGGCCCCTCCAGGCCCCTCCAGGCCCCCTCCAGGCCCCCTCCAGGCCCCGTGGCTGCCTTGGGCTCTGTGGAGACGGGCCCCCTCCCCTCCCTGCTCGGAACCCATGATAGGGCAGGGTGTGTGGGGGGGTGCTTGCAAGCCCAGGAAACATCCTGAGCCCAGCCCAGCAGCATCTGTAAACATACACAGCACTGCGGGCCATCTTGGTGTGGGGTCACCCCAGGGGGCTGGCCAGCAGGCACCAGATCTGGGGGGTGGCCAGGGCAGATGCCAGCCTGGACCACAGATGTGAGTATGTGGGGAGAGAGCTGCTCTCCATCTCGGCCCCAGGAGAGCAGCCGGAGGGCAGCGATGGGGAGTCGCCAGGCCCACAGCCCGTCCTGTGGGGCACAGTGAGGCTGAGAAGGCGGAGTGCTGCCCTGCCCACCGGACAGGCTGCCCCAGGCTCCTCCCTGCTCCACACTCCTCCCCCATCTAGAGGACCTGGATCCCGGCCCGCCCGGTGGCCCTGAGCTGAGGTAGGGCTGCGGACCCCCAGCTCAGCAGCAGTGCCCCATGCCTGAGGCTAAACTGGCCCCTGGGGGGGCTCTCCTCAAAGCGGCCTGGCCCTGGGGGCAGCCACCAGGAGCCCGAGGGGCCACCTGCTCCCCCCTCCCCCCCCCCGCCCGGGCCTCAGCCAGCAGTCACTCCTGGGGTGCTAGCGCGCCGAGATGACCAGGTCGTCCTGCTTGGTGGGGCTGGCCCCGTGGCCGGTGGGGGTAGAAGTCCGGATCTTGTCCACTGCCAGGCACTCCTGGCTGCTGAGACCCGTGGGTGTCAGGTCCATGAGCTCGCCCGAGGAGCTGAGCGGGAAGGAGGGCGAGAGCGAGATGCCCGAGGAGGGGTCCGCTGAGCCGGCGAAGAGCCTCGGGGGCTTGGGCACCAGGTTGGGCTCAAACTGGGCGCGGAGCAGGATCTCTTGCTGGCTGGGGGACTTGGGGCCCTCGGCATAGTCGCTGGTGGGGCTCTCGGGCACCACCATGCAGTAGAGGTCCTGGAAGGAGCTGCTCTTACTGTCGAGGTTGAAGAGGCTGTCGATGAACTCCGCGAACTCCAGCACCTGAGGGCTGGGCGAGTCCCCCAGGCGCCCGTTGTGCAGGGCCAGCTCCCCCCCGGGGGCCGCCCCGCCTCCGCCGCCACCCTCCTCCTCGTCCTCGGTGGCCGCCGCACTGGGGGGCCGCTCGGGGGTGACACCCCCACTGCCCAAGGCCGCCTCCAGGGGCTGCGTGTCCTGGGAGTGCTTGGACAGGCTGTCGGCCCCCAGCAGCTCGGTGCGCGAGCTCAGGGACGGGTTCTCCTCGGGGATGGCGGGGTCGATGTAGAAGAGGTGGCCCTCGTCCCGCTCCAGCACGGCGTGGAGGCTGGGCGAGCCGCGGATGCTGCGGAAGCCCGACGAGCGGCGGGAGTCGAAGCTGTACAGGGACTCGGTGTCGGACAGGCTCTCCATGGTGGCCAGGGGCGCCCGCCGGGCCTGCAGCTCGGCCGCCAACCGCTCCTGGGTGGACAGCAGCAGCAGCTCCACGGGGTCCTGGCGGGCCGCAGCCGCCGGCGTCAGCAGCCGCCCCTCCGAAAAGCCCTCCAGGCTCATCTCAGACTGGCACTTGCTCCTACAGAGGGCAGGGCAGGGGGGCGCGAGACTCAGGAGGGGCAGGGACACCGGGGTGGGGGGGAGTCCCCCTCCTGGGCTGCAGGGAACTTGGGGAAGGGAGGAGGGAAGAGTTAATTTAGCGGTTGCTCAACAGTGTGGGGCAGGGAGGCTTATTTTGAAAAAACAACTCACAAGAACCCAAGACAGAAGACAAAAGGGGCTGATGCTGTGGGTGGGGTCACTGAAGGCCTAAGGCCCCGCTGGGAGCCCTGGGGTGCCCGGAGCACTGCCCCAGTCACTCATGAGGCAATGGTGGGAGGGGAGAGTGGGGAGGGGGAGGGAGAAAGGGAGAGAGCACTGCCCAGAGCTGCCCCCACTGGTTCTCTCACACCCTCAGGGCCAGTGCCCCTTCTGCATGGGGGGCGGCGGCGGCCGGGATCACACACTGGGGTTCCTCCCCCCTCTGCCATGGGTTAGACCCTCTGCTGGACGGACAGGAGAGAGGCGGGGGTGGGGGGGGAGAGGGGGCCCAGCAGCTCCTCCGAGCAGACGTGGTCAATGCAGCGGCCACAGGAAATGCACAAATGGTGGGGAGAGGTGTCCAGGTGTCCCCACCAAGGGCCTGGAAGTGGCGACCACCCTTCGGAGCAGCCTCCTGGCCAAATCTGTGACCTGCCCTGGAAGGGTCCCAGAGAGGCGGGAAGAATCCCCCCGCCACCAAAGGAGCCAGCCACCCTTTCAGAGCCAACCCCTGTAAGAGTGTGTGTGAATACGGAGTGTGTGCGGGACCAGGGGCGGGCACGCGAGGCCCTGTGACGTGTGCAGCGTGCATACCAGGTGTCTGCATGCGTCCGTGTGTCTGGGCACACGTGCGTTCACACACTCACGTACACGGGGGCCCATTCTTGCAGCCCTTCTGTGCGTGTGGCTGGGCCTCTGTCTTGTTGTACGTCCTGTACGTGAGTATGTCTGTGTGGGGCTCTCCGTGCACCCAGAGCTACTGCTTGTGAGCACGTACGTACATGCGCGTGTAAGCGGCACCACGAGTACACTTGTGTGCGTGTATGTAAGCGCACGGTACCCATCTGTGTGGGCTGAATGGCTCTGAGTGAATCTACGTGCTTGTGGCCCCGGGTCCGTGCATCCCTAGGTGACCACCATGCCACGTGGGCTTCGGTGATGGCAGGCTAGGGGGCCCGGGGAGCAGGCCAGGAGACCCTGGGCACAGGGGCAAGTTCGAGCCCTCTGCGCCGCTGTGCAGAGCTTCGGGAACACCCGGAGGCCCAGCGAGTGCACGGGATATGCACGCGCACAGGCATTCCTGCTCGGAACGCACCTGTGGCGCTGCTCGCCCCCCCCCTCCCCGCCGCGGCGGGATGGGGCTGCGCAGGCAGGACTCACCTGACGCTATTTCGGTGGTCCGCGGCGGGCAGCTCCAGGGCAAGGCCGGCGGGCACGGGTGGCCCCGTTGGCAGCGGCTGCTGTTGGAAGATGAGCTCGGGAGTCAGGTCCACCTCAGTGGGGCTCACCATGACCTTAGCAGCGGAGAGCAGGGCCGTCTTCCCCTTGTTGTAGTTCTCCAGCACCTGGGGACAGGTCGGGCAAGCTGGTGGCGGTGGTGGAGGGGTGACAATCACATGTGGGGGCGGGGCAGCAGGCCAAGCCTCTCAGGCCAGAGCCTCATGGGGTTGGCTGGGCCCCACTCCTGCCCCCCACCTCCAGCCCAGGTCCCTGCTCCACCAGGACGGCCTGGGACTGGCCCTGCAATCATGCCTTGCCCTGCAGATGGACCAAGCTGGTGTTCTCCTTCCCTATGGTCAGCCTTTCCGTGGCCAGGTGATGGCTGAGGGTGCCCCTGCTCGGCTGTGCATCTGTCATGGGCCAGGTCCCTGGGAGACTCCCAGACCCCTCCCCGCCATGGGGCCCACATAGCAATGTGGACAGCAGAGGTGTGGGGACCAAAAGGCGAGTTCTGGCTCACTTCTCTGAGCGTCCGCACCCTTGCCTGTCCTACGGGGACGGAGAGCCGGCCAACAGGGCACTGCAGGGCTCTGATGAGGCGTCCCTGCCCAGGCTGCCCCGGGGGCTCACCTTGTTGAGCCCCTCCATGACCACATAGGGGAGGTGCTCATGCAGCATGGCCGGCGAGATGATCACTTCGTTGAAGGCCTTGTTGTCGCCCCAGATGGCAAAGTACGTGGGCTCCTCCTGCTCACAGCAGCTGGGGGGGCATAGGGGCCGGAGGGAAGCTGAGGGTGGGTGGCAGCCTGGCTCCGGCCCCCAGGTCCCTGGGCTCCCTGCTCCGGCCTCACCCGAAGCCCTTACCCTCCCCCTCCCCCGGCCAGGAACGTTGATGCCAAATGGGCCTAAGCCACAGTCCCTACATAGCCTACTACCTGCTCGTGGCCTGGGCCGCACCTGCTCCACCCTGGGCAAGGCCCGGCTCACAAGCCTTTTGTCACTGGGACAGAGGGTTCAGGCCCCACCCTCTGAAAGAGCCCGAAGTGGGAGAAGTCTATGTACTGCTGGCCCGCTCATCTCTCCCACCCCCGCCCCAGCCCTGCTCACAACTGCTGCCCACTAATTCCAGAGGGGATGCCACACAACTGAGGTGGGAGCTGGCCAGGGCCTCAGGGGGACCCCCCAGGGCATCCACTTTTAAATGGACCATAAGTGGGGAGAGCTACCCTGGGGGACACCAGGGAAGGCCTGGCACTGGGAACAAAGGCTGGGACTGTCCAGAGAGGAGTCTGGGGTCCTGCTCTGCCCTTTTGCTCTACTTCCACGGCCCACGGATAGGGCAACCCTGCCATGAGTGTCCTGGGCAATCCTCTCCCCGCCTCTGCCCACAGTCCCAGGGGGCGGCTAAGCAAGGCCAGCCCCGTCCCCCACGCCCCTGGCCGCTGCTGCCTCCCAGCTGACCCAGGGTCGCAGGCAGCACCTACCAGCACTGCTCTGCTGGGTGGTTGTGGACCACGTGGATGATGCGGCCGGGTGGGTAGAGAGGGGTGCTGGCAGAGAGGGCGATGGTCAGGTCGCTGGGGTGGGTCCAGAGCCGTGTGCTGGCGAGGGTGGCCACCTCGACCTCCTCAGGCAGCTCCGACTTGGGGATACATTTGGTGGCCCCCACGATAATTCGCCACTGTGCAGGGTCGGGGGCGAGATGGGGACAGAGCTGACCAGGGCTGGCTGGTGGGCAGCGGCAGGAGCGGCCTCAGAAGGGGGCTCAGGGGTGACAGGTGGGAGCTGGGACGGATGGCCATGGGGCAGAGGGAAGAACAGTGCCCACCTGAAGAGGCAGTGGCTGAGGCATATGGTGGCCACAATGGCCAAAAAGATGCCAAGGACAGATGACATGACAGTGTTGAATTTCAGGGCTAGAAAGGGGCTGGAAGACCAGTCAACTCCTTATCTAGAGGATGGGGAAACAGCCCAGCAAAGGAAGGGACTTGTTCTGGGTCATGTCCCGCATCAGAGACAGAGCAGACCCCGAAGTTCAGTCCAGCTGCATCTACGAGGCCTGGCCACGTCTGGGTTGGCCCCCAGCCACCCACCTCCCGGGCCTGACGAGCGCGCAGGCCTGGGTCCAATAGGAGCAGTTCTGCCTCCCAGAACCAGGCTCCTGCAGGCAGACATGGCCCCCTAAGGCTTTGCTGCCCTGCCCACCCCTGCCACCTGGTGCCTGGCCCAGGGCCCTGCCTGCCAGAAGGTCATGGGCACCAAGGCTGGGAACAGTCCAAACTGGGCGGAGATGATGAGTGGGGTGGGGCCGGGGGTCAGAGAAGACATGCTGGTTCAGGTTGGCCCCTTCCTGCCTGCCTCGGGGTACCTGGCCACAGCACCCACGCCCGCCTGGCACGCTGAGGCTGGCTCGGCACAGGAAGAGCCCCCCGTGTGCTCGGAGACCTGATAAGGGATGAGGCAGGGCTGAGCCTCTCCTTAGCCCCAGCGGAGCATCAGAACAAACTGCACCCAGACCCCCTCCGGCGGTGGCATCAGGACTCGTGGAGTCTGGGGAACCGCAGCGGGCTCGGCAGAGGCCTTCCTGTCATGAACTCGAAGCACCTCGAGTTTGAGCCTTGGGCCTGCTTTTTCCTGACTTTAGGCAGCTCTGGGTGACAGGGCTGGCACTCAGGAGCCCTTGGTCCCAGTCCTGACAGCTTGTGTGAGCAAAAGCAAGTCCCTTACCCACTCTGGGCCTCGGTTTCGCCCTCTGTACAACGACAGGCCATAGGGGAGACAAGATGAGTGTGGAGGTGCTGAGAGTTTGATGGCCCGGGGTTCCCGTGACATCAGCCACATCGAGCCTGGCCTCACATGGCTGGGCTCTCTTGTGCTTTGTGCAAGCCCAGCATGCCAAGTGGGTTGAGGGGCAGGGGACTCACTTTGGGCTTGGTGCTTCGCTGTAGGACGTCTAGGAGCTGTCTGCGGAAGCCTTCCAGCTGGGAGAGGCCGATCCTGGGGAAGGAAGCAAGCCGGGTGTCAGCCTGGCCGGGCCAGGGACTGGGAGGGGTGTGGCGTGTGGGGGCAGAGGGGCAGGCCCATGGCAGCCACAGAAAGGAGAAGACCACGCCGTCGGTATCATGGGGTGGGATGGGTGGGCAGGGGTGAGTCCGCAGCTCAGGCAGGGTGGGGCCACCTGTCCTCTCGCTCTGGGGACTCTGGGGGCTCTGGGATTCCCTGGGGAGATGGGAATCTGAGGGAGAGGCCCCAAGGAGGCAGGAATAGCTGGCCAGGATGGTGGTGAGAGGGAGCGACTTGTGACTTGCAACTCGCCTGGGGACAAGATCTTTGCCCAGAACCACGGCCGTCACAAATTCCTTGGAGTACTCCATGGCGTCCTCGCTGCAAAGGAAGCCAGGGGTTGCTAAGGCAGGGGTGGTGAGGGGGCCCCGCTCCAGCATTCCTGGGGTTCGTGTTTTGGTTCAAGGCCCTCTGGGGAGCTCACAGGTGCCAGGCTGGGCTGCCTGCTCTTGGTCGCACCTTTCCTGCCCGTGAGGCTTTGCAGGGTGCAGATCCTGGGCTCTGCCTGGCATTTGACAGAGCACCCCTCCCTCCACTTACCAGGCCATTCCCAGGCCCCCATGTGACCAGAAGGCAGCCTGCCCAGGCCAGCTCCCAGGCCTTTAGCCCCCATCAACCCCAGGCAGCTCAGGCCCCGGGCTGCTCACCTCAGCAGGCCTCCTGGTGGGGAGTAGGCAAAGCACTTGAGGGTAGGGTACTGGGGGCGCAGCAGGAAGGAGAGGATGGCCGCGGTGCCTGCACCCAGGGAGTGGCCCACCACAATCAGGCCATAGTGTTTCGTTCCTCGGCCCTGAAAACCAGGAGAAGTCTGAGAGCCCTGCCCCATGGATTGTCTGGACTACAGCTGATACTGGGCAGGCAGAGGGGTCTTCCCAGAGTCCTGACACGGGGTGTGTGCTGCGTGGTCACTGGGGCAGCGGAAGAGCCAAGCTAGACTCGCACAGAGCAACTTCCTGGGGAGCCTCTTCTAATAAACTCCTACTCACCTTTCAAAACCTTGTTCAGAGTACCTCCTTGGAGAAGCCCCTCCTGATTTTCCGGGAGAGACTTACTCCCTCCTAGACGCTGTATCTATACGCATGGAAGACCTTTCTATATGGTGATTATACTCTACTGTAATTGTGTACATTCTATGGAGATTATCTTCTAGAATAATCATTGGTTCACCTGCCCCTGTTTCTGTGCCCCAGCTACTAGACTGGGGTCTCCTGAGGCCAGGGACTACTTGGCTTTGGGAAGGGTGGTTGGAGCACCTTGGGGGCTGCCTGCCCGGGGAGCAGGGGCTGGGTAGGATCCGGATTGCCCCAACCAGAGCAACACCCTTCCTATGGGCTCTGTAATTATTTTTCTTTGTGGCCTGCTCTATATTTTGAAGCCCCTGACCAGAACCATCTTCGTGCCCCCAGTGCCTGGCATGGAGCAGGTGCTCATAACTGGGGGGGCTGGGCAGGGAGGCCCAAGAAATGCTGGTACGAGAGAGGAAGGGGTCAGAGGCGGGGGAGGGACTGAGCAAGTGAGGAGGGGGCTGCGAGTCAGGCATCAAAGGGGAGTGTAGGAGCCTGGGTTGTGCGGTGTAGGGGGGCTCCACCATGCACGCACCCTGCCCCCAGGGCTGTTTTGGGGGAGGCAGAGTCGGCATGGCCAGGGCTCAGTGCCAGGGAAAATGCCTCACCAGGTCTCGCCCAAAGGCCTGGGACAGGACCATCTCCTGCTCCAGCTTCTTCTTGATGTACTCAGCCGAGAGGACCATTCCCTGGGCAAGGAGGGACAGAGGTGGGTGTCACGGGGAGGGAGGTCTTTTATCTTTTTTTTTTTTTTAAAGATTATTTATTTTGAGAGAGAGAGAGAGCACGCAGGGAGCAGGGGCAGAAGGAGAGGGAGAGTCTTAAGCAGACTCTGTGCTGAGTGTGGAGCTGGACACAGGGCTTGGTCTCACGACCCTGAGATCATGACTTGAGCTGAAACTAAGGATCAGATGCTTGGGGGCACCTGGGTGGCTCAGTCAGTTAAGCGTCTGCCTTCAGCTCAGGTCATGATCCCGGGTCCTGGGATCGAGCCCTGCATCGGGCTCCCTACTCAGTGGGGAGTCTGCTTCTGCTTCTCCCTCTCCCTCTGCCCCTCCCCCTGCTCATGTGCGTGCTCTCTCTCTCTCTGAAATAAATAAAATCTTTAAAAAAGAAAAACAAAAAATATTTAAAAAAACCCAAAAGAATCAGATGCTTAACAGGCTGTAGCCTAGGCGCCCCGGGAGGGAGGTCTTTCAGAGACCAGCAAAACCATGACTGGAATCTCACCAATCCTGTCCCAACTATTTCCCCTTTGGCCCTCCTAACAACCTGGCTGTGGGGGCTGGTGGACACTTTATCACATCATTTCCATTTCACAGATGACAAAACTGAGGTTCAGAAGAGTTGTGTGTCTCACGGAAACCAGTCTCTTCCCAGCTGCCTCTTCAGGCTCTTCTGGGGCAGGATCTGGGCCAGGAAGGACGGTGGGGGTCCCGGTGGGTGGGCCACAGTGGATCTTCTAGATGAATCCATGCTCCTCTGACCCATCTCTCCCTAGGGGCCCGGCAGGCAGGGAGGACCCCCCACCCCGACAGCAGGACAGGTGTGTGTGCTGGCAAGGGAGGAGAGGAGGCAAGGGGCCTCGGGGGCCGGGAAGGAGCAGTACCTTGTGCCCTAGCCAGGTGCCATGGTGCCCCTCCACGGGGAGGCGCTCGGCGTCACCGGTCAGGTCTGTCAGGGCATCCTTGTGGAGAGAGAGGACAGGTGAGGGCTGGGGTGAGGACAGGAAGGGGGAGGCGGACACCCCTCAGGGGCCGTGAGGGGTGGGCTGGGAGCCACACACAGCATACCTTGGGGGAAAGGGTTCCCCGGATACTGATCACCACCTTCTTCTTGTCGTGGTCCACTGCCACATAGAAGGGGGTCTCGTAGACCTAGGATAAGGGGGGGCTCATGAGCCAAGTGGCCCTGGCATGGGGCCAGACTCGGGGAGTGACCTACACAGGTCTCCTGGCCAAGGAACCAGCTCCCTGGGCCCCCGCAAGGCTGCCGGGGCTCCCTGTAGGCTCCCCTCCAGCTCAGGCCACCTGAGAGCTGCCGTCCTGCCTGCGGAGCCTGCAGGGACCGCTGCCCCCTCCCCAGGGCCTCGCTGTTGAGTCCCCCGCCCCCTCCCCCACGGTGCGGGGTCGGGGACCACTCCCTAGCCCCAGGGGGGTGCAGGCCCGGCTGGGGGGAGGGGACGGGTCCCGCGGCCCACCGAGGACAAAGGCTGGGGGCTGGGGGGCGCTGCACATGGGCCGGCGTGGCTCCTCACCGCGTCATGGCAGGAGGTGTACACGATGTCCACCGCGGTCATGTTCTCGTCCAGGAAGTGGCGCCGGATGGCAATGGCATTGCAGCCACAGCAGTTGTCCTCCTCGATGGTGACTCCTGGGGCAAAGCGGGGCCGCGCGGGGCACAGGCAACACCTGGCGGGGGGGGGGCAGGGGCTCAGAGACCCCAGAGCACCTGTCCCTGCCAGCCTCTCTGGAGCCCCCCCAGAGGTCCCACAGTCCTCGCCCTACTTGGCCTCCTGGCGGCACGGGGCCCGGTGGGCCTCTCCCCCTCCCCGCACCGCTCTCCCCGCCTCATCCCTCCATCGCTCCCCCCTCACTGGCGGCCTCCCTGGGCCCGTCCTCTGCCATAGCTGCGCCCTTCTCTTCTCCCTAGCTCCTCACCCGTCTCTGGCCTCTGAGCTCCCGAACCGCCTGACCTGCTCCGGGCCCCCAGATGCCCCCCTCCCACCTCCCCAGGCCCCAGGCCCCACCGGCCCGCCCCCGTGTGCTCCCTGAGTCCCCCTGCTCATTGCCCAGGGCCGTCCTTGGAGCTGGCTTCACGTCCCCTCCCCACCGCATGTCCCACAGCCCATCGGTCGCTCGGCACATCCGCTCACCCTGCCTCCAACTTCGGAACGGACTGCAACCACTTTCCCTCGCGCCCACCCCTTCCACCATCACCTCTGCCTCGGAGCGTCACGGTGGCCTCCTGACGGGCCTCCCTCGTCTACTCTTGCCCTCGACGTTCTCCACTGGCAGCCAGAGCGACCCCCTAAGATCTAAGTCGAGCCATGTCGCTTCACTCGAAACCCGACAGCGATGCCCTTCCCGTCCAGTGTAAGAGCCAGAGTCCTTGCGAGGGTCACCGGCGCTGCCCCATCTGGCCCGGTTCCCTGGCTCGCTGCCTCCGACCTCCCTCGGGCCCTGCTGGCCCTCCTGCCCACCCTCGGATGCACTGGCCAGGCTGCCCAACCGGACTCCTCACTTCCTTCGGGCCTCTGCTCAAATGTCTGTCATGGTGAGGTCCACCTTGGACAGCCCCTCTAGCCCAGCCAGCCCCCTGCCAGTGTTCCCCGGCCGGACAACACCCCCCTTTATTTCTCTCCCAAGCGTGCCTCTGGTCCTAGAGGCTCCGCGTCCTTGTCTGTGTACTGTCTGCGTCTCCCCCCGGCAACGGCTCCCCAGGGCCGGGGCTGCTCGGCCCCATGTGCAGCCACGTGCCCAGCACCAGACACACAGAGGCGTCTCCCAAATGAACAGCGGAGCGTCTGAGGGGGGCACGCTGCTCGGGGTGCAGCGGCTCCTCAGGCCGCCAGAGGGAGCCAGCAGCCAACAGATGGGGCCTTGGAGCCGTGAGCCAGAACACCAGGCCCCTGGGGGCTCCCTGTCTGGAGAGGACAGCTGAGATTTTGTGAAGAGTCCTGAATTTCGGGGATGCTGAGAGGTTTATCCTCACCCAAGCAGCACCTAAGGGACTGTTACCTACTTCCCAATGAGGAGAGGCCTCGCTGGGAAAACTCAGGGTCCAGCCGAGTCTGGGAAGCCACGGGGCCTGCGGTGGGCAACCACCTCAAGGCACATGGGGGGAGCCCTCCCCCGACTGCAGGGCCAAGTGGGGGCCGGCCCGGGTCTGGGGGCCAGGCTCCTGTTCCCAGGGAACTGCCTCCTCTCTGCAGCCTCAGCTGGCATGTGGACACCACAATGTGGCCTTCAGGGACATACACCTGGGCTTTCTCCTCACAGCCCTGAGAAGCTGACAAAGCATCCCTCCTGTCTGCACATCCCCCCGAGGGCCCAGCCTGCCAGCGACTCCCTGGCTTCTCAAATACCCCATGGGCAGGCGGGACAGGCACCAGGTGGCGATGTCCCCACCCTGCCAATGAGTAACGGAGCAGAGCCTGTCAGAGCCCAGGGCTCGAGGCTCCTGGTCTGGTGCTCATTTGGAGAAGCTTCTCAGCAGTGGCAGGGACTCCCAAGGATGCTGGAAGGAACGCCAGCTGTGGGAGGGGGCATGGGGTGCCCGGTCCACTCACTCGGTGAGTCACTGGGGATGGGAGAACAGGGTCCCAAGGGCCACCCAGCCTTCTGCAGAAAGGAAGGGCAGCGCAGGAGGGGTGTGGCTCCCCCAAGGGCAGGAGTGTCACAGACAGAAGGTCAGCCTTTCCAGACGAGGGAGCCAGGGACCTGTCCTCCTTCTGTCTGGGCCAGGCTGAAGGTGCGGACACCAATGGGGAAGGGCCCCTCCTGGAGCTGTGCCCTTCTCTGGCCCAGTTGGGAAAGCAGAGTCCACCGGTGCCCAGGGGTGGCTTGTGGGCAGGTCTGGGGCAGGTGCTTGCCCAATCCCTGTGAAGAGGGTCAAAGTCTTTCACTAAAGGGCCTTCTTGACGCCCTTCCAGAGGCCTCCACGGACTGGGCCTCTACTAGGAAAGTCCCTTCTTTCAGAAAGGCAGAGCACAGGACAGGAGCAGAAGAAAGACGTAGGCAGAGGGGAGCGAGGCAGAGAGGGGCGGGAGGAGAAGGGAGCCAGCAGGGTCCGATGCTGGGCAACCCTCATTCGATCCTCTCAAACCAACTCCAGGAGGTAGGTATGGCCATCCCCACTTTACAGATAAGGAAACTGAGCCTTGCGGAGGTAGGCCGACTCGCCCATGGCTGCCAGCGACAACATCTGGATTCAAACCAAATACTGTGTGATTCCAGAGCCCACGCTCTTCCCCGCCTAAGGATAATGCAGACCTAGAGAGGCCGAAGCCCAGAGGCGGTGTGGAAGAGAAGCCATGCAGGCCACAGACCACGGAGGTGGGGGAGAGTCTCCCCCAGGCTGGCCCAGCCTCAGGACCGCTGCTCGCCCGCACACGCCGGCCGGCCGGAAGGACGGGACAGGGGTACTCACGAGCAGGACCGCGCCAGGCGGCAGAGGCCACAGGCTGGCTTCCGCATCAGGTACATGGGCCACCCATAGGCGGCCAGGGCGAAGAGCATGTAGTAACAGACCTCTTTGTAGCGGAGCATCTCTTGCTGGAAGAAAGCAGGGGGAGGTGGTCACCTCTCACCCTTCCGGCCTACAGCCTCTAGGCCCAAGGGCTCCCCTGGATGGAGGAGGGAGCGGCCCTCCTGGCCTCCCCAGGGACTGCAAGCCCACCGTGCTCCCGCCTTGGAGGAAGGACCGCTCCTCCAGATGATAATTCCATTTCCCTAATTATCTCCATGCAACCAGGGCACGAAGCCTCCTGGGGCCTGTCCTGATGCTCCAACCTCCGAATTAATGATTTGGGGACAGAAAACCACTCGGAGCACTGGATCGATTTCCTTGCCTGTTTTCCAGAGAAGGGAAGTGAGGGGGAGGCGTGAGTGGCCATCACCCGCCTTAGCAATCAAGCCTGGGAAGGGAAGTTTAACCCTCAGAGGCCCTGGGCCCTGCCCTCCAGCTGGGGGTGTCCGGGCCTTGAGCAGCAGCGCTGGCCCTTTAGACGCTGGGTGACCTGACAAATCAGCAACACTCTCTCAGCCCGCAAGTTCTTTGTCTGCAAATATGGGGAGACTCCAGTTTGACTGGGCAAGTCACAGGCTCCCCATGGATGTCTGGAGCAGATTGGGATCTCTGCAGAGAAAGGCGCCAGTTTGAAACCCAGCATCTGAGGCCAGTGGCTATTGTTATTATCAGCCCAATGGGCTGGAAGGAGACAGGAGACACAGGTGTCCTAGCTAAGCGGCTTCCAGTGTCCCGGGAGTGCCAGGCGCCAGAGGGCTCCTGCACTTAGGGGGAATTAGTCACCTTGTAAAAGTTAAAGAGGGTGATTAGTCATCTTCTGAAGTGAAATAGGTAGCACCTTAATAAGAGCCCAGAGGGGTGGAACCATCCCCGGGCCAGCTCTGTCTGCTCTTTAGGAACGAGCTGGAGAAGGTAATTATCCTCTCCCTGTGTCGGTGCTCGGCTCTGGCTGGAGGGCAGGGCGCTGGCAGGCTCTGCCAAGTGGCAGGCAGGGACCCCAGCACCTCAAGGCTCTGCGGCCTGCCTCTGCCCCCCCCTCACATGGCGAGAGAGCCCGGGGCGACCGGGTAAGCGAGGCCAGGCGGGGCACCTGCTGCGGGCGGGCCATTTTCAGAGGGGATACACGCAGCTACTTTGGGCAGTGGGGACAGACGGGGACTGGAGGCTTTTCTAGGGGATCTAGATACAAGGGAGGAATCCTTTCGAGTCGGTCCCGACTGCGGAACTGGACTCAGAATGGCTCATTTCCTCCCCACTAGAGCTCTGGGGGGAAGGTATGCCCAGCATCATTACCCACTCAGGAACGGGCTCAGAGGGGACGGAGGACTTGCTCAAGGTCACAGCGACAGTGGCAGAGCTGAAGCACCCCCAAATCGGTTTGCTCCTGAGCCTGCCAGCTGCAGTGTCGGCCCGGGCAGCCCAGGACCCTTGTGGTGGTGCAGGGGCTCCCCTGGCCACGGGACCGGCCCCACCTTTACCTGTGAAACACTGGGGCTCTAGTACAGAAGCCTAGAAGAGGTTCCGTAAGCAGTGCGGTACGTTGTGCTGCCTCTTAGGAGAACAGAGTAGCAACCGTGTAAGCCGCGCACGCCTGGGAAGCACTTTAGGATCTCAAGAGGCCAGGACCGAACATTCTGAGTGTGGTGAAGCCGATTCCAGGGTTTTGACCGTGGGACCAGCATGATGGGGGCGGTCCTCAGGAGGAAGGGGTGTGAACTGAGGAGGGAGGCTACGTGGGGAGCTGCAGGGGGACCCACAGAGGAGGAGGTGCTGCCCATGCTTTCGGGGCAGTGGGCAGGTGGCCCGCTCAGGCCGCCCCAGCAGAGGGCGAGGGACCCGGGGCAGGGGGTCTGACTCACCGAGTTCTTGAGGTCGAGATACTTGGTGTTTCTGGTCACTGGCATCCCAGACAGGAAGGTCAAAATGTCATTGTTCGCCTGCAAAACCGGGGTGTGAAGGTGGCTGTCCCAGATCCAGGGGGCATGGCTGAGAAAGGGGGTCCAGCCCCCTAGGCTCTGACTCTGCCTGCTTCCCAAGGGCCTGCACGCCCAAACGAGGGTGTGGTTTCTAGCTCTTCCACGACCCAGCCAGTTTCCCCAAATCTGAGGTCTCCTCACATGTCCACTGCTCTCTTTCCACCCCCCCATTGCCCCAGGGACATTCCTGCCCAGGCTGAGGGTAACGTGCTTTGTAGGGGATGCTGGGAGGTCCCGGCTGGGATCAGGGCGTTGGGGGGGTGGGATGGAGGCAAGTGCGAAGGGCCGAGGCGCTGAGCATCGTTATTCACGAGGGCCACGTGGTTAGAAGCCCACGGCGCTGGCCCAGCAGAGGGACGTCACTCAAGCCAGAGCCAGGAGGGGAGCTGGCACCAGGGGGTGACCGGAGGGACCCTGGGAGCAGGGCGGCGGGGGAGGCCCGGAGGAGGGTGGTGCCCACCTCGTCCAGCACGGCGCTGCGCTTGGCCCGTTGTCGCTGCCGGAGCAGCACCAGGCCAGCAATGATGTCGGACGGCACGATGTCGAGGTCTCGGAAAAACTCGGCAAAGAGGTAGGCGATTTCTGAGTAGGCGTCCTGTGAGGTCCGGGGGTGGGCGGGAGGCGGGGCAGGGGAGCGGGAGAGAGGGTGAGAGACCAGGCGTGAATGCCCCGGGGCCGGGGCCCTGCTCCGGGCCCAGGGCCAGCTCGCCCACCCCCGCCTGGCCCTCTGCAGCCGTGACCCCGAGGGCCCTGGCCTGGGCTCTGGAACCCCGCGGACGTGGCCAGGGCTGTCTGCGACAGCCACCGAGCCTTGTCCGGCCTCCACCTCCCGGCCCTCTCCTGTCCTCGGAGCTCCTACGGCACTCACCGTCACCGCCTACCACGCACAAATGCCAACGTGAGCCATTTCCTGTTCTTTCCCCAGCCACTAGGAATCAAGGCCTGCTCAGCCCGGCTTGTTTCTCCTCCGCCTTTCTCTCTAGCAGAGAAGCCCAAACTGAGCTCCTGACTGCTGCCTCCCCACACTGAGTTGCTTCCCACCTCCCAGCAGCTGTGACCTGGAAAGGCCTCCTAAGGGCCGAGGCTCCGCGGGGGGCGGGGGGGGTGTGTGTGGCAGGCCCCCTCCCCCACCTGCCCACAGCTGCCGGCTCAGGGACCCTCACGATGTGCCTGGATAAGGGTGAGGACGCTGGGTCTGTGGCCCCTCTGGCTTCCCCGCAAGCCTGGTTCTCGGGCCAGCCCGAGCCCAGGGCAGGAGGCAGGAGGTGCACATCCAAAGGCAGCCCCGCCCGTCCCTGCGCTCGGCATCCTCCCCGCCTCGGTCCGCGTGGGAGTCGGGAACCTCTTCCCTAACCTGTTGGGGGGGTGGCGCTGCGATGGGAGCAAACTCATGGCAAGTGGTTCTCGCTGGGTTTCACCCTTGAGTGCCCGGCATTTGTAAGAGAACAAAAATCGGGGGTTGCAAACTCAAAGGCCTAATGAGGCCAAACGACACTAGCTACTACTCGGCTTCGGCTGACTGCCCTGCGAGGGGCCCACACTGCCAGATCTAGAAATACGAACCTGTATATGAATGCCCTGCTTCTTCACGTTGGCACTCAATTCAGATTTGAAGCCACCACAGCACAGAGGGATCAAAACGTGCTCTGGGCTGGACCTGATCCCCAGTGTTTGACGGGACCCAGATCCTGGGCCACCCCTCCCCGCAGCGCCCTAACATCAGCCCCAACTCTGCCATATGCCCAGGAGGGCTGGGTGCGTCCCCCTCGACCCCCCAGAGAGGCCCATGGGGGTGATCCCCGCCCACCAGGGAACCTCCGGGGAGAGGGGGGCTTTCTTATACCTGATTACTCACTCTACAGCTCACCAGGGGCTGCTGGAGGGAAGGAGCCACTCAGGCTTCCGGTGGCTCCATGGAGGGCACTTGCTGTCTGGCTCAGGGAGGAGTGGTCTCCTGACCTCACTGGTTCTGCCACTAACTAGCTGTGGGACGCTGAGCAAGTCACACCACCTCTCTGGGCCTCAGCTGTCTGATCTGAAAAACGAGGGGCAGGGGGTGGGGGGACACTAGATGGTCTCTAAGGGCCCTGCTGGCATGGGGGGTCTGTCTCGAGGACCCCAGGGGCCCTACCTCCCCCCCAGGGGCTGCCCTCCACTGAGCCGGCCTTGCTTCGGCAGCACCGGGCCCCTCAGGCTGCTCTTCCGAGCACCAGGCCCGGAGGCTGGCTGCGCGCGTCTGGGCTCGGCACCTGACAGCTGCGACGGATCTTCCAGAGGCCTTTGCAGCTGGTGACATGCTGCTTTTCTGTGCTTTCAGGTCACCCTGCTTGTTTAGTGTCTCCTCTCCTAAACTACTCTAAGTTGCAAGGGGGTGGATGAAAGGTCTTGAAACCTTTCCGTCCCCTCGACAAAGCCAGGGATCGGCCATCTCACATGCAGGAGGGAGTCGGTTGGTCAGTGGATACCAGGTCCTCATCTTGCTCCTGCTCAAAACCCAGCGCCCTTCTGGCAGCCCTGCCCCACCGGCTGTGCCGAGGAGTGGCGGCCCCTCAGTGGCTGGCGGCCGGGTGTGCGCCGGAGGGAAGCGACGTCCCGGTACTTACTGACTGGGAGTCCTTCGTCCGAGTGCAGCACAGGAACACCTTGAGCCGGCGCGACCAGCTGGTGGCCTGACCCTCCTCCAAGCGATGCCTGCAAGAGGACAGAGTTGGTATGTGTGAGGTCAGGGGGCGGGACCAGATGCGAGGGGAACAGGGTGGCCCTGACCCACCAGAGGGCTCTCCAGCAGGGGGTCTAGGAGAGAACAGGCCTGGGCCTGGCCAGGGTCCCCTGGGGGGACCCTGCTGGCCTAAGATGGCCTACGGTTGGCCATGCTCCCAGCTTCTGGCAGACTGAACACCAGCATGCCCAGCGGGCTTCAGAGGTGGGAGCCCAAACTGGGGGCCGCTCTGTGGCTCAGGTGTCCAACGGCTCAAACTAAGAGCCCCGGGACACTGTAGCAGGGTGCTGGGCCTCTTAGCCAACTCACCGGAGCAGACCTGTAGGACAGACTTGCTTCCCCTTGGAAAGGATTTCAGATACCCAGCACTTTCTGTACTTGGGGGAAATTTAAGGGGCATGTGAGGCTCTGCATCTCCCAACTCCTTGGGTCTGTTACTTTAGAGGGGACAAGGGCCCCCGCCTTTCATCTGCATGGCTGGCGCCTGTCCATTCCCGCCCCCAGCCCCAGCCCCAACGTGTCTAGCTGCTCTGATGGTGAGTCAGGGTATCCAGCAGTCCACACCCAAGGGCAGAGCGGCTGGCCGATTATCCACAGAGGCCCTTCCAATGCTGGGTGCCCAGAACTCCGTGTGGTTTTTTGTTTGTTCTGTTTTTAAAGATTTTATTTATTTTTATTTGCAAGAGAGAGTGAGTGAGAGAGCACATGAGCAGGGGCAGAGGGAGAGGAAGAGGGAGAAGCAGACTCCCCTGCTGAACAGGGAGCCCAATGTGGGGCTTGATCCCAGGACCTTGAGATCATGACCTGAGTTGAAGGCAGACGCTTAACCAATTGAGCCACCCAGGTGCCCCGAAATCGGTGTGTTTTGAGCATAAATTTAAGAGACGCAACATTAAATATGTAAGCTTCCAGACTGAGCAAGAAGAGGCTGGTTTGCTTTCGTGACATGTGCCCTCCCCTCCCTCCGGTCCCTGCAGATGCTGATGCTTAGTGGTCAGTAGGGGAAGGCACGGGTGACCCCGAATGCTTGCAAGGCACTTAGTATCCATCAGGAGTGACAGGCCAGGCCCTCCTTCCTGAGCCCTCTGGCTTCCCTCTGCAGCAAAGCGCTGCTTCCTACAGCCCTAGTTCCATAAGGCAGTGGGCCACAAGGACAGGGAAGGCCACAGGGCTTTCCAGGACTAGAGGAGGAGTTAGGAGAGCGTAAGAAGGATACAAGGAAACTGCTGCTTCTGGAATCTACGAGCTCTAAGGGACTTGGGCAGCCTTACATCATAAAGCAACATCCCCCTGCCAGGGGCTTGATAGAGGGACAGCATGCTGGCAAGCCGGGATCCCAGAGCATCACATTCTTTAACCCTTTCTAATCTAATGGGCTTTTAAACATTCAAAGCATATTTCCTGCCAGGCCTCTGGCTGATCAAGTGCTGACTGTACGCTTTACTGCACTACCCCTTATGCCCACCAGGAGGCAGATGGAGCCAGGGAAAGGTTTGGCCTAATGCATCAGTTAGGCTGCAGAGACCAGCACAGGCAGATAGTGAAGCTGGACAGCAAGTACATGGACCCAGCACCCCTCTGGGAGTGCAGACGCCCCTGCAAAGATCCAAGGTCGAGGCTCCCAGGGAGCAGTGCTGGGAAGAACCCATCTCCCCACCCCTACCAGATTTCATCGGCAGGAGAGAGGGCCCGGGACTTAAACAGCTTCCTGACTTCCAGAGATGCTAAAACAACCTATCAGTGTGGCACGGGGGGGGGTCTGTGTGCGTCCCCAAACCTGGAAGTGGATGAAGGGCAGGCAGGTTTGAAAATGTCCTTGTTAGAAAAACTGATGTTTTCAGAGCTGAGGGAGGGCCAGTGGAGACAAGCCCGAGAGGTGGTCACATTAACCAAGCCGCAGCCTAGGCTGCCCTCCTGACCCCTGCAGAGAGCTGGAGAAGATGCAACAGGTCAGAGCCTGTGAGCTCTGAGGCCTCTCACTCACCCCCACAGGGCCCGAAACTGCAGGAAAACTTTCTAATTAAAACGACAGCCCCCAGCTGCAAAGGCGCTGGCTTCCCTGGGCCCCAAAGGCAATTACCCAGAGTCAGGGAGGGGAGATTTTTTCCCAGGGCCCCAGAAGCCTAGAAACCAGGTCAGGTGGGGGCGTATGCTCAGAATGAGCAAAATGGGACGGGTGGTGGTGGCTTGCTACGCCAGGAGGGAGAACAGGCTCCAGGGCCCTGGATCCAAGACCTGGTATTTTGGGCTGGGAGGTGGCCAGCCCAGGCGCGGGTGTGGCTCTGGCCGATCTGCCGAGCTGACGTGGAGGGCCTGAGAGGAGCTGAAAGCAGAGGTGCAGGAGGGTGGGGTGAGGAGAATTCCCACTGGGCCTGGGGGCCTGGGCAACCCGCTGGCCTGGCCGAGGGCTCCTGACTCCCCTGCCCTGGGGATGGAGTGCCAGGTCTGCTCCCCGTCAGTGTGACCTGCGGCAAGTGACCTGCCCTCTCCAGAACTTGGACTCCTCATCCGTAGAATGGGTCTCCTAAGGACACCAGGGTCGGCAAAAGGACTGAATGGGCTGATGGTGGGAAAGGACTCATGGCAGGGCCTAAGTCATAGTAGAAGCTCCATGCCCCCCAGCCGCCGGAAGCCCCCACCCCCACCCCGCCCATCTTTTTCTTTCACTAAACAGGAATTCCTGTGACCCTGGATTCTCTCATTTTCTTTACCATGGCACAGTATTCCCCTTCCCTCATAACATCATGCAAAACTTACCTCCTCCAGGAAGCCTTCCTTGATTAACCTTCTCCAGCCCCCTTAATCCTAGAGGCAGCCCAGCCTAGTGGTTAAGAGCAAGGGCCCTAGGGGCGCCTGGGTAGCTCAGTCAGTTAGGCGCCTGCCTTCAGCTCAGGTCATGATCCCAGGGTCCTGGGGTCAAGCCCCGCATCGGGGAGTCTGCTTCTCCCTCTCCTCCCCACTTGTGCTGTCTCTCTCTCTCAAATAAATAAATAAAATCTTGGGGCGCCTGGGTGGCTCAGTCGTTAAGCGTCTGCCTTCG